CATGAGCTGATGACATCGACTAGCCGGCTGGCCGTACATGTGCCAGGAATCAAGTATGTGCTTGATTTTGATGGTATTTAGCAGCCAACTTGACGTCATTTTGAAGTTCTTTTTCTAAACACTAGCCTCAAAATGGCAGGATCCATCATGATCTGGGGGAAATGAACAAGCTCCATGCATGTGTCTACATGGCACGCTAGTTTTCTGGGGTTTCGCACCGTAAGATGGTTTCTCATATACAAGGCAATATGCATCAGAATCTGATGATTTAAGGGCCGGAACATGGAAGTTTTTTTGGAGGGGACCCAAAACTCTAGGGGACCGACAATGTTGTGTGCCGCCCCTCCCCCCTCCCGCCCCCACACACAAGCATCCGAAACGAAACCCTGCGTCCGTCATTTCAGCGAATCGCTTTAATTCATCAAAGAAAAGGCCACTGGTTGTTGGATAGGTTGCTTTATGCTTCATTACTGCCGCACATTTTGTTGAATAAGGACCGCTAATTATTGAAAAGGTCGCATTTACTGTTGCCCGATCGTAATGGTAAGAGCAATGCAAGCAAAATCAGACAAACCCGTTCTCCAGCAGGAATAGGTTCATTGCTGCGCTTTCAATTTCCTCTAGTGCCCTTTGGGATGTCTGTGTGATTTATGAAACCACTCTACTACCAACACCATATCGCACAGCTGTTGCTGGTCATGTACCGTTTCTGTGAGGTCTCGCGGAAGTTTGGCGTCTGCCGCTGCGCTGTCGTTTACATCTGGCAACTGTCTGACCAATTCAAAGCTGTCTTTGGACGCTCAGATCGTGTTTCCATTCATTAAATTGGCTCTTATACGCAGAACACTCAACAAACGTACACATCGACATAAGTATCGTGGGCTATTGTTTTAATCATGAATTCCTTTCGCTCGAAGCTCGGTGCTTGTGCTACTTTGGAAGCTCACGATGGTTGGCATCTTTGTTCGTTCCATTGTGATGCGGTCGCATGCTGTATGGTATGGGAATCGTCGTCTTACTGAACTTTGCGCGGCATGCCCTGCTGCCGAGCGCCGCGTCACGGGCTTTGTCCGTGATCTCGTTCATGTCTACTGTGACCCCGACCGACCGCTGCGCTCAACCGAATAGTACAACGACCGCTACGAAAGTTAAGAAGTTTTGCGTCGGGCGTCTCTAAAAGTTTGACACTCTGATTGGTGTGTGTGTGTGTGTGTGTGTGTGTGTGTGTGTGTGTGTGTGTGCCGTAAGTGCGCTTACATGCAAATGTAAGACTTGATTAACATTTTGGACAATGCTCAAGGTCAGTTCAATTCTCACACTTCAATTACGCCAGCCATTTGTGTTCGAAACTTGTTGTTAGGCACCCATCCCCTCAAAGAAGTAAAAAGTCCACCCAAGCTTATATTTCGTAAGCCCTGCCGATTGAACCGTTCTGATCCAGATTCAGGCCATATCTATACGGCAGTATCCATCAGCCATCGACCCAATGCTCTCTGCCGCTGCCATGTGTACCAGCCGGACACGGGTGCTCACCCGCCTCACACAATGCAATGCTGGAACAGCACGCAGCCATTCAGCCGTGAAACGCCACCCAGTGCGCGTGAACAGAACAGGTTCAGGTGGGCCGGACGGCCGATTCCGTCGCCGGAATGCGACGGGGAAATGTTCCGCTGCCGAATGGCCAGCCGAGTGCCGCCGGATATGAAGTTGGCCGGCGACTGTCGTGCATTTTCCCGCACCGAAGTGCCGGGAGTCTGGTGCGCGGGTCCGCTCCGGGCGCCCGAGGTCTGCGGGTCTGCTCCAACCGCCCGAGGTCTGCGAGTCTGCTCCAACCGCCCGAGGTGTACGGGTCTGCTCCAACCGCCCGAGGTGTACGGGTCTGCTCCGGGCGCCCGAGGTCTGCGGGTCTGCTCCAACCGCCCGAGGTGTACGGGTCTGCTCCAACCGCCCGAGGTGTACGGGTCTGCTCCAACCGCCCGAGGTGTACGGGTCTGCTCCAACCACCCGAGGTCTGCGGGTCTGCTCCAACCGCCCGAGGTGTACGGGTCTGCTCCAACCGCCCGAGGTGTACGGGTCTGCGGCCAGCGGCCCGTGCGCGCCGAGCATAAGACGTCTTGTTTACACCGCAGTCACACAGACGACAGGCCCGTGGCGCGGCCTCCTGCGCCCGAAGGCGAGGGCGGCACCAAAACAAAACTGATCGAATCGCAGCTCTCTGGTCCTAGCTGTTGTGCGCCATTGACGCATATCAGTTGTCTGAAACACAATTTTTCTCGGTTCAGCTGCAAACTGGTGTTGTCCGTTGTTCCGTTCCTTGCGCTTCACATGAATTATCTGTTGTTTTTGTATGGTAAGTAACATGCAGGTTTCTAAAGCATGTTGGGCTTAGTGTAATCACAATTAACGAATATATACTAACTAAACATTTTTCTTGGCTCTGACCCACTGTATTTAAGCCTCCTGAAAACAGCAAATGTTTTGCACACCGTCAAGCTAAAAGTAATATTTTTTTATCTTTGTTTCATATTCCCAAAAAAGAAACCCATTGCCATCTAGGAATGCATGCTTAGACAATAAAAGCAAATTATCATGCGGCAATATACATTTATTAAAGCCCACAAGTGGCACACGACACGCTTACTTAGGCCTACAAGTGGCACACGATGACTGGCGGCTAAGGCTTGAAACAGTATAGAAGACCGGACTCCTGCTCCTCTGCTGCCCATCACTCTAGCTCAGCGAGAAGCAGTATGGAAGACCGGATCCCTGCCCCTCTGCTGCCCATCACTCTAGCTCAGCGAGAAGCAGTATAGAAGACTGGACCCCTGCCTCTCTGCTGCCCATCACTCTAGCTCAGCGAGAAGCAGTATAGAAGACTGGACCCCTGCCCCTCTGCTGCCCATCACTCTAGCTCAGCGAGAAGCAGTATAGAAGACCGGACCCCTGCCCCTCTGCTGCCCACCACTCTAGCTCACCTACCGTGGGTCTTTTGCTATTTGCTGGCACTACCTGTTTCAAATATTACTATCGAACGAATGGCAGAAGTCATTCTGCCATTTGTTTCGACAAAGGCGTGCTACCGAAATATCGGTGCGTCTATATTTCTATTCTTTTGGTTTTTCTACGAGGAATAAAGCATAATGATATTGCTGCCCTCTTACATATGTGCACAATGTTCCTCGCAAATGCACGTAACAATTTAAGCAACTTAACAGTCCTTATAGCTTTGCAAAATGATGTGCAGATTTTTCCAGGTAAAACAGAAAAGGTGGCAAATACTGGTTCATTTAAATGGTCTCAAAAAGGGTCAGTATGAAGGGGGCTGGGCTCCAATACAGTCTACGGCAAACGAAACAGGAGCCCTAATGATGTGAATGTACTGATTTATTCTGTCTTAGAGACGTCTCATCCGCTGGCGTACGCGCACCAAGGGACCATTCCACATGTGTTAGTTACGTCCCATCCGCTGGCGTACGCACACCAAGTGACCATTCCACACGTTGTGTTAGTTACGTCCCATCCGCTGGTGCACGCGCACCGAGGGACCATTCCACACGTGTAAGTTACGTCCCATCTGCTGGTGTGCACGCACCAAGTGACCATTCCACACATTGCAGCTTAGCATAGGCATCATTGCGAAATGAGCGAAAACAGTCATGCAAGCTCACTACGCTGGGAATTATTGTAAGCTGCAACAGGTGTACACCTGACCCCGCAATATTTCCCCAAAATGACCAAGATGCCGTACGAAGCTGTGCAAGGCATCGACTGAGACGTTCTTGAGGCATCCTTTGCATCGAAGCGATGGCAGTGTCATTGTGACTCCAGGAAGTCCGACATGCACCTGCAGAACTCTCATTGGATCACAGGTCTGTTCACGGCCCAAGGAGTCCGACATGCACCAGCGGAACTCTCATTGGATTACAGGTCTCTTCATGGCCCAAGGAATCCGACATGCACCTGCAGAACTCTCATAGGATCACAGGTCTCTTCACGGCCCAAGGAGTCCGACATGCACCTGCAGAACTCTCATTGGATCACAGGTCTCTTCACGGCCCAAGGAGTCCGACATGCACCAGCGGAACTCTTATTTGATCACAGGTCTCTTCACGGCCCAAGGAGTCCGACATGCACCTGCAGAACTCTCATAGGATCAAAGGTCTCTTCACGGCCCAAGGAGTCGGACATACACCAGCGGAACTCTTATTTGATCACAGGTCTCTTCATGGCCCAAGGAGTCGGATATGTACCTGCAGAACTCCATTGGATCACAGGTCTCTTCATGGCCCAAGGGGCCGAACTTAAACGTGGCTTGACTGGGATGAGGACGGATGGGCGAGCAGTTTACATCAGCGTCACAATACAGAGCACGACATAACATCTCTAGATGGCATAGGTCCGGGGACAGCCGGCCCTGGAGATTATTGTAGAGCAGTCTGAATGGGCTATGGGGAGGCAAGACAGCCACGAATCCCAAAGGTGCTGGGCGGACACCAGCAGCGTCCAGGAGCTCTGAAAGCATCCAGGCGATCGATTCTCTCGGCTCGAGAAAGGAGTTTGTCACTGTACAGTTCCGTGATGGCCAAAAGGCCTCAAAGTTGAATGCAGGAGCTTGAGATTAGCATGCTAAATAAAGCAATATGTTCCGAGGTAAGCAGAGACCTGAAACGACCGTTGGAGCCTAAAACAGTTCAGGAATTCTGACATTAGCACTAGTTTTGAGGTTTTGCAGGGTGTCTCGAAGTCTTGACAGCTCAGTGACATCCACAAATCATTGACATGACCGTGATAAATGCCCGGGACCGACGCAAAAAAAAGCCGAAATCTTGGTCACTTCACGAAAACTTAAATCAAAAGAAACATTGGTCCTATGAAAGTAGTGTATCATCACAGAAACGTGTTTTAGAATCCTAACCCAAGGCAACAGGTGATGTTTACCGCTTACCACAATGCGTTGTCTTTTTCCGCTGGCTGTTCATGCAGACTGCTTGTGATTACAGAAAGCACAGTAGCGGGGACCTGCACAGTCGTCTGAAGACGCGGAAGGTGCTGGGCGTCGGAGCGACAGACAACGGCGATGTCCATCGGTCAAAGGTCAGTCGCAGACTTACACGCTCTAATCTATACGCTCTAATGCGCTCTAAGGCCGGCAATATTGTACGTGACGATGTGCAGCGGGTATTTTGTTATGAATGCGCAAACCTCTTGAAACGTTTTTGCCGGAAGTAATAATCTACACAGGCATTTGCAGGGGTGCTTTGCACCCTAAGTACATAATTCCGAATAATCTGTAGTTTACTCATCTGTGTATTTAATGTTGGGGATTGCTGATTTAATTTATGCGGAAAAGATGGGGCGTTGACGACGTGTGGTTAGTATTGGTAGGCTCGTAGGCTTGTGGACGCAAAGTTGTCTCGATGCCGACACGCTCTTACAGACTTATCCGCCACCACATCATCGAGAGGTTTTACTCCGGCGCCAACCGGAGTTGGGGCAACCTCTGAAATTACCCCAAGCATCTTTTGTCATCGCCGCAGCGTTATGAAGCGTTTACGGGGTGACGCCTGAAGCCGAATCCGTTTTGTCACTTCAAAATGTTAGTGATATGCCTCAATTAGGAACAATTTTCAATGTAAGATGATGTGGCAAGCAGCCGCCAAAAGATTCCAGACTGCTAAATCGGTGATTGTGGGGCGCAGCAAGCTTTCTCACTTTTCTGCTGCAGTTATTCCGCTAGGACGGCTTTTGCGGCATGGAACGAGCGGATTGATGGTTGATAACGTCATTACCTTGCAGGTCATGTCTTAAACGGAATGTTCCATATTTTAAGATTATAACAGTGATTGCAGTGATATGGAGCTTATAATGTCCGGAGTTTGTTTGACGTATTTGTGTGTGTGTGTGTGTAAGGGAAAGTGGTTGGAACGTGGCTTGGTCGAGTAATTTAGGTGAATTCTCCAACATGGAGCCTGTCGTGACGTTGTTTGGCAGCAGATCCACCTGAATGACTGGTCTGAGGTTTCAGTATATTTTTTTCAAAAAAGGTAAATATTGCAGGTCATAATGAGATTTCGAAATAGTCAGTTAATACATCGCAGCTGTTTCGTCCAGTTTCGGTTGTCATCTGAAGTGGTCTTTACATACATAATCATGTTGCTCATCCAATTAGCATTATCTTTTATTCGTATTTATGCTTGGCCGGAAACAGCGTCAGTGACCGAAACTGGTGTATGCTGGGTGGCCGCATTCATGAGGTGCTGTTGAATGAGTATCCTATTTTTCTAAGAACGATTCATCAGCTTTGGTGGTCCCATTTTGACTCCAAAAATAACAGTGCGAGATGAACTAGCTTTTCAAGTTAAATTAGCCTGTGTTCGATATATTGAAAGCTGGCTGCGGTCGGGGCCGAGAGAGATACCAGGCTGCGCTCAGATCAATGGGCCGAGAGAGATACCAGGCTGCGCTCAGATCAATGGACCGCTCGCATTGGCCGCTGTCTTTGCCGGCGGTGATGGCCTGACGGTTCTGGTCAGGTAAACATATCCACCGTCAGACTGCGTATCCCGGTACATGGTTGGTGGATCATTGTGTTGCGCAGAAGTGTCCACCACCACAAAACATGACGCAAACGTATTTCCGCGTCTTTTCCATGCTATGGTCGTTATTTCAAGTCCATAAATCAGTGATCGACAGTAGCGGGGATAAGCAGCATAGCAAGACAACGTAAAACGATGTGGCCCAAACACTGGGTCAGTACAGAACTCACTGACGCTGACACTAATAGCATCTTTGACAATTCCACGAGCAGAAGCCCGCTCGATCCAGCACCAAATCCTCGCAGACCCGCGGCATGCGACACTCACGTGCTCTGCTGCAGCCTGTAGTTACCGAGCCATGTGCTCTGCTGCAGCCTGTAGTTACCGAGCACTGGGGAGCATGACTGCCATTTGTGACGCTGTGACGTTTCTTGATCGTTAGTGTGGGACCTAGCTCGATGGTTTTAAATCGCTGAAGGTAGTTGGTTATTTATCAGTTTTGTGAAAATTATAGTCCCAGTCATGCTTCTATTCAGAATGAGAATGAACTCATGATTTGCGCTATGTATGAGTGAACGAAGCATTTAATTTTCAATGACACGACAATGCAGGGCTAACTTGTCAACGTTGATTTTGAAAGAAATTGCTGCTTTCATTCCAATGCGTGCTGCGTTCAGCATCGCATGCACACTCCACACTCCGACGCCGCTTGGCCGAGACGTTTTGTGAAGTCACTTGTGGAATCCAGGCTCGTAAATTGGTGTTCTGCACTGGAAACCCCGGCAAAACCATACATTTTGGCGTAGTATTGCTAATATTTCAGTTGATCTGGGAAAAAGTGGCAAAATCAAGCGAGCGTTTACAAGAAAATAACAGCTCTTAGAAGGCGGTATTGAAGCTCCAGATGTTTAATCATAGGCCAGCGCGCTCAAGGTAACCAGGCTTGAAAGCTGGCTGGATCCAAACACGCCACTTGAGAGTTCTTGTTAGGAAGCATTTTCATGTTGGTAGCTGGCAAAAGGAATTGTTCCACAATTGAGTGGGATTTTAAACTGAAATCGCCATTTTAAAGATCATTGGATGCAATTCACAGCCCTGCCCTGCTAAAGAACTAAACCCTTCCGGTTTCTGAGCTACACACCCGCGAAGATGTGCAGACTTTTGCGCTAGGTTATTTCAGGGTAACCCAGGTATCCATGACGCCATAATTACGTCATTCAAATCATGCCATTTCATAAGCTATGCGGTGATCAAGGCAAGACAAACATAGTTGTCGAGTCGTCCATATCTGGTGTTCGTGAGCACGATTTCCAGATATGACGGCTGTCAACTGGCTGTCAGTCAATGTTGTGGAGCGTACCGTAACATTACCAAACAATAACGCATTGAGGAGCTTATTTACTAAATAGAGAAATTGTGCTGTTTAAAGCAGTCGTTCCCACTTAAAAACATGCCAGTAGTTTAAAGTAAGTTTAAAGTAAAAGTAAGGTCTGCGAGCAAAGCTTCAAAATGGGCATGTAGAGCTCTGTTTCCAAAATGATTGCAGATTGTTGGTGTTGAGCAAACTGGAACTCGGAGAGGGGTGCGTGCCTCAGCGGAATAAACTGACCAACTACTTGTTTAATTGTGAGTACAAAAAACATCGGTTTTAGGCGGCTTCAGTTCTGCATATGGCATGCACTTCTAACTTGCATGATGTTGAACATATATCGTATCGAACAGGGGTGTCATTTTTTTGTAAATTGTTGGGGGACAGACCTGAAGGCCCGACAACCCACCCTCCGCTAAATTTTTTTCCCCGGATTTAGCCCCCTTTATTTTCACTAGACGCAATATATGTTTTTTAATCTTTGTATCTTTTATAAGTTTTTAATTTAAACAGTCATGCAGTAAGTCATCCAGGGTTGGATCCAAGGAGCAGGCACTGGACGCACGCTTCTCTTTTTGCCGGTACGCGAAGGCGCCCCTTTGGAGGCCACCTTATGGCGCCGATGGCGCTTTTCTGTGACGGTCATGGGGGAGGGCGGCACGTATTTCGGTTGTGGGGGACGGGGACGGGATTAGCAATGAAGGGCTTAGATCATCCCCATGTTCCAGAGCTTTTCACTTTAACCTTACAAACCATTGCGTGTCTTATGGCGCTATGTATGTGAAGTTAACTGCATCGTTAATCCACTCAGCTGCTACGATTTTCATCTCGTGGTGAGAGCAGCCATGACTTTTTGTTATGAGGGTGATATGAGACGCCACCACGCAGAAGATCAAAGAAGATAGTATTTTTGCTGTGATCATCTTTTGCCCACTTTTTTGTAGCATTCCAGCCGTTGGGGGCGAAGCCAACATTGGGGGAGGGGGGTTCAACTCAACATTGGGTGGGGGGGGGGGCAGGGACCCCACAAAATAATGCAACTCGATACCCGTGGTGTTAAAAATCACTTGTGCACCTTTCGCAGGGAGGTAGAAAAAACCAGCCCGCGTCGAAGTACGTTGACATCACAGTCACTCCACGGCATACTTATTCCACTAGTTCATATATTTCATGTGTTAAAAGCCTGCTTTTTACAGAGCTATAATCCGCATACTATCGCGCCAACTTCCATGTGCCTCGCACCAATAAAAAAAATGGTTTAATTATCTTGCGCACGAGACACGATCCCCCTCCCCCCCCCCCCCACACACACACTACCACCGCCACCATATTCAACCCAATCCTTCTGCGTTGTGAAGAATGGCGAATCAGGTCAGGGTATGTACAGCCGGGGGTTTCAGGGCCTTAGGCGACAGCCGGCTTGTTCGGGTGGCAACAAGGGTAGATATCGAGTGCAGCCCCCACTTGTTATGGGGCGACTGTCACGTCATGTCATGAGACCACAAAACTGGGCTTCTACTGTCCTACTGTTCTACTGTTCTACTGTTCTACTGGGACAATCTCAAAATGACCCAACGACTGCCTCTGGCCTCTAGTCTCTCAGTCTTGATGGCAACTCTCCGACATTTCAGGGCAAATTTATGTAGGTCACGACATATAGATGCGCTCACCAGTCGGGCACTGAGCACGCTGCGCCTGAAGAGGTCCTGGTTGTCTACTTGCGAGGAACTACAGTGTATGTGGCGGCCGGTGGCTTCTCGTGGCGTTATTAAATTGGGGCTATGATGAAGTTTGGCTGAGCGTTTGCTTTCCTCACCAGCTGGCCTGCCTTCTGACGTGATTATCGATTCAACTGTCCTGTGAATCTTTTGCCGCAACAGCGGACTGCGATGATTAACCCCAAAGGTATAGCTTGAAGAAGATAATCGAATGGTACTGAACGATTTGATTCACTGAAAGCACATTAGGGGTTCAGGATTTTGGTCCAGTGGTACTGTTCTCATCACTATACGACGTATATCACTTTTTACACCAATGATTCGCGGAAACTGTCATCTTCCCACTGATCACGGCTGTGAAAAGCCAACATCTCTCACTCGCGCTTGGACATTGGCACGGTGAGGAAAATCGCCATTGTACTTCGACTCTCGTCGTTTAGAAATCCAGACATGGTTTTCACCATCTTTGCA